CCCCCCCGCGTTTGCCTCCTTTCTATAAATAAAATTTAAGCTGCTCTATTCACAAATTCAACAGTTTTATTGCTGGAAGTTAAGAAACATCCCACGGCGCATTCTTTTCTGAGGCTTAGATACCCAAATTTCTTCCATTGCAGCTCTTAGGTGTTTTAAGAACTTCATGAATATTTTAGCTTTATATTTTTTATTAAAAGAAGTTACAAAAACATGAAATCCAGGTGATACCATGCTTGGTGTTGATTTCTGGTATTGCTAGTTTTGTTGTGGCGATTCTTTTAACTAAATGCTCCATCCGCAGGTTTGATAGCAAGAGATTTTGCAGAGATTGCAGAAGAAATGTGCTCCGTGAATTCAAGGAACTGAAGGAGCTAAAGCGCTTGAAGAAGGAACCCCGCTGCACCAATTGGTTTTGTGTTGCAGATACTGATATCCAATATGAAGTATGTTCATACTTGTTGCACCAAAGATGAACAATATTTTTCAATGATTTGTTCCTGCAATATTTTAATTTTTTTGGTGTCCATAGTCCATGGATATCAATATTGCTGTTTCTCTGTTTAAATTTAGGCTTTTCTGCTGGAAGTTAACTTATGCGGTAGTAAGCATTGACAAATTTCATCTGATCAAGTCAACAATCATATCGAGTGCCTTTATGGTTTATGTATTCCCAGGTGTCTGAGGATTTGGTCATAGTTGATTGGCAGAATTCCTTCACAAACACGAGCACTTATCATCATTTTGAATGGGCAGTTGGAACTGCAGAAGGGAAAGGTGATATCTTAGATTTCGAAGATGTAGGCATGAATGAAAAAGTTGAAGTGAAAGGACTCGATCTTAGCAGCTTCAGTGCTTGCTTTATCACACTGAGAGCATGGAAACTCGATGGGCGTTGTACTGAACTATCTGTAAAAGCACATGCATTGAATGGGCGAACATGTGTTCATCGAAGGCTAGTAGTAGGCGATGGCTTTGTGACCATAACAAAAGGGGATAGTATCAAATCTTTCTTTGAGCATGCAGAAGAAGTTGAAGAAGAAGAGGTATTTGCGTACAAAACTAAATAATTCAATGATTTTTAGATCGGCAAAATATTTTTTTTATTTTTATTATGCTTTGTGCAAAAGGATGATGACTCCATTGATAAAGATGGAATTGAACTTGACGGGGATGGCTCCCGTCCTCAAAAACATGCCAAGAGTCCTGAACTTGCAAGGGAATTTCTTCTGGATGCTGCAACAGTTATTTTCAAGGAGCAGGTACTGTACAGTATTGCAATTTTTTACATGTTTTTTATCTTAGAGTTTATCACCTTCTTTGCAGTTATTTCAGCCTTGAACTGCCATAATGTCTAACCACATTATTTATGTTTGACCACCTCTGAGAAAAATTTGCTCCTTTTACTTGATGCAGCCATGAAGAAAATTGTATAAAGCATAATTTTGGAGGACTGGACAGTTTAAATAAATTGTTATTGTTTTGCATTGTCAAAGGATTACTGACAAAATTTGTTAGTTTTACTAAGATATTGCGAGAGGCGGCGTAGTTAATTGCTTGCTCTTACTTTTCTGTAATTGATGTGAATCAATTGATAAGAAAGGTTGCGTGGTAGATGAGGGTTACATCTTGCTATTTTAAGTGTGCGGTCAAATGATGGAACATATGATGGCTTATTATTTTCAATGATTGGAGTGCTTGGACATGCCTATAGAATTTTCATAGAAAACTAATTTCTTAGAGATTAATCTTTGAAATTGGTGCAAACAAACCCAGTCTTCTAGACACCATGCCTTTTTGAAAATTTCAAGATTAGCTCAAGTTTTGCCCAAACTTTGTCCATAAGTTAGTGTCTTCAGAAGGATTTAAATTCTTTGGATAATCATCAGATTTACTAATTTAATTATGTTTTAAACAGCTGGCAACATTTTTCAGGAATACTTTGTGCATGGGTTGGCTTGATTTACACATGCACTTACCTTTGGAAACATGCTTCTTATTTTTCATCAGGTAGAGAAGGCTTTCAGAGAAGGAACAGCACGGCAAAATTCTCATAGTTTATTCGTTTCTCTTGCCATAAAATTATTAGAAGACTGTGTCCATGTTGCCTGCAAAGAAATAATTACACTAGAAAAACAGGTAATTCAATGATCCTCTGATCTTCTGGTTTACTGACAAAACAAAGTGGTGGCTATTCCTAAATTCTAACTTGACGATGCATCAGATTAAACTTCTTGAAGAAGAAGAGAATGAAAAACGTGAGGAAGAGGAACGTAGGGAGAGAAGAAGAAACAAGGAGCGAGAGAAAAAACTTAGGAGGAAAGAGAGGTTGAAGGAAAAAGAGAAGGATAGGGAAATAAAGAGTATTGAAGCTAATACACCAAGTTTTGATCTGTCAACATTTGCTAATAATCCGCTAAGAAACATTAATGATGAATCTTTGTCCACTCTCAACTATGGGGATTCACCTTGTGATCGAAGAGACGAGAAAAATATTTATGAACCTAATTTTACAGACATGAATGACGATACTCCAGTACATAAAGATGTGGATACTGTGAACCTACAGAGTGACAGCTTATGTCATTCGAGTTATCTCGAAGAAGGGATACATTTTAGGGAATCCACTGGCTCTTTTCTACTCAGGCAATCAAAATCTGCTAGACAAAAACTATCATTTAAAAGATCTGCTCTTCAGGATCAATCTCCCAAGTGGTATGACAAGCACAGATCTGCATTCAACAATAAGGCTTCTTCCAGGTGCTTGAGTGGTGGGCCTTGGCCATTTAGGGAAAAGCTTGGGAGAATGGATTCTAGGAATTGCATTGATGTGAGACTCAATGAGAAGCTTCGCTCTTCTCAGGGCCGAATTTTTAACACATCTGATTCTTTACCATGTAGAAGTAATCATCCGAGCGAATATAGACCGATGACTCGGTATCATATTTCTAATATGAAAGGCAGTCGAGAATTGAAGAATGCGAAGTCAGTTGATTCAACAGGGAATTTGCCTCGGCAGTTGTCTCACTACGGTAAACACAATCGTGGATCCTATGTCCCTGAAAAAAACACGTTTCCCAAAGGGAAGTTAGTTATAAGCTCTTCTGGGATAGATTCTAACCACACGAGGCAGGTTTGGGAGCCGTTGGATGCACGAAAGAAATACAATAGAAGCAACTTAGGGGCTGATCTTAGTGTGCTTAATACTTCTAAGATCCACCTATCCAAGGAAACGGCATTCTATAAGGATGAAAAGGATTTCCATAGTTATGATAATGAACCTTCTGTTGAAGATAATTCACATGAATTCTCTACAAAAGACACAGGAGTTGATTCCTTGAGGTCTTCTGAGAATCAGACGAATCAAAGTAAGGATTCAAATAATTCTGATTTCAGAACCCTTCACACTTGCCAAAATGATTTCTCAACATCTGAGAAGTGCTCAAAGGACATTGGAGATGATGAACATAACTCATCTTCCATCATTTCTACATTTTCTACAAATAATAGCTCTCATTCCGTTATGATCTCTTCTAGTTCTGATGCCTGCTCATCTTGTCCGAGCGAAGGCGACAGCACCACCAGCTTTTCAAGCACGTTAAATGCAGAAACCTCATCAACTTCGGATTCAGAAGATGCTAGCCAGCAGCTAGACCAAAGATATACTTCCACCTGCGATGAAGATGCTCGTCTCAAAAACCGAAATTGTTCTCCAAATAGCAAGTTTGGATCTACAGGAGAAGCCTCACAGCAAACTGCTGCAACTTCTGGGTTCCCACTACAAGCCAGCTCTCCAATAGTAGAGTCCATAGAAGTTGGCTGCTGCTCGGGTGTTAGTCCAAATTTTAATGCCGTTCCTCGACAGCAACATATGTTACATACACATAACCAACTCCCCATGCCTACATTTCCCTCAGAGATTATGGGGTATGAAAATCAAAATACAATATGTTGGTCTGGTGCTCCTATTAATGGAATTGTGCCATTTTCACTCCACTATATGTTCCCAACTCCTGTAGGTTATGGCATGCCTCCTAACAGATCCTCAGCTTTTCCAAACCAGTATAACACTCTTCAACCTATAGCAGCTGCTGCGTTGAATTCAGAGCAGCATCACTCATTCCATGGTATTACCAAAGACTGTAGAGCTTATCCTGCCAGACCAAACCAACACATGATAAATGATAATGGTTACACAGAGGCAGAGACCAAAACAAAAATCTCTGAAATAAAAGAACATTCTTTGAGCGCAGAGAATGGCGACAACGCCACAAAATCAAACGAGACCAGTAAATCCTTCTCACTGTTTCATTTTGGGGGGCCGTTAGTTGGCGCCGCACCTTATGGTGTGAAATCTGAGTGCACGAATGATCGTTCAGGAAGTATATTGAATTCGGTTGAATCTCTGCAAAAAATTCCCTGTTCGATGGAAGAGACGAAAATTGAAGAGTACAGCTTGTTTGCTGCAAAAAATAATTCCAGGTTTCTGTTTTCTAGCTTCAACTTATAAAACAGGGTGCAGGAAAGCTGCTGGTATTGTTGTTTCCGCATCACTGCTTTGTTTGTGAAAGTTGAGTGCTTGTATTTGATCACAATAATCTTTGTCAATGGTTCAAGTATAGGTTTCTATTGTTCTTTCTTCTTTGCTTTTTTTTTTTTTTTTTTTTTTTTTTTTTTTTTTTTTTTTTTTTTGGGGGGGTGTGGAGGGTCAAGGAAGAAAAGCAGAGAGAGAGAGAGAGAGAGAGAGAGATTTTTACCTCTTGCTTGCTGAAGGAGAAATTTTTTTCTATTCAGAGTGAAGTTTGTTTAGAAAATAATATTTGTGCAATAACAGAATGCATTTTTGTTTCTGTAGGTTGCATGGAAGGATCAACATTAATTGCTTGGTGAGGATATCCTTTCTTTTACTTTGCTCTACCTTTTCTACTACTAAAAAAAAGGGTCATTTTCATACACAGCCCACAATTCTTATGTATTTTCATGTGAAAGTTTAGATGTGAGATATGTAAATACATTAGAATTGTGTGCCACTTATGCAATTTTCTTGCATGTTATAGTTCTTATGGTTATTAAAAAATGATTAGCTTGAACTAAACACTTAACAAACCATTATATGGTATGACATAAGATTTATTATTATCAAATCCTTAATGAGTTACATAATAGGTACATTGAGTCAATAGTTTATGATTTTCCTTCTATGTTTAAGCATTTACCTAATATAACAAGTGATGTATACCAATATATATGGTAATTCTTTCTCTTTTGATATCATCAAAATAATTTATCATGAATTCTAGATAGGGTGTAGCCATTAATGATATTAACACCTAAATATTGCATGTAATGTAAAAAAATTAAAATAATGTGCTTGAGACATAAAATCTAATCCAAATGAAATATTAAATGAATCTCATTTATAATATTTAAATAATCAAATATTATCAATTTTGAACTAAATAGCAGGGTTTTGAAAATCAAACTGAACATTAAACTGATAGAGGAGTGATTTTTTCAAGGTTCAAAAGTTGAGCTGAGGTTGAACCAGGTGTTAGAACTAAAAATTGAACTTGATGGCATATTAAATAACAAATTTATTTAAATATTAATTTGTCACAATCACCGGTATTGAGCTTGGACTTAATCAAAGCGGAACTGACGAAAAAATTATTACGTACGTTCACTGTACACAGAAATACGTACAGTGAACCAATGAAAATACTCCCCTACCAAAAGTGTATGTCAGTGAGCCCCAATTCTTTTTTTTTTTTGGCTCGGAACAGACGATCAGATAATAAAATTAAATTTTAATTATTTTATTTCTATCACTAATAATTTAATGTCTCAAAATTTATTTTATTGTTCGTAAGGAGCAACCGAAGCAGAACACTCAACAAAGAGTTTATTCTTTAACTCATGAAGAACTTGAATAATATTTTGTCAGTCATGCTTATGCGTAGAGCATAGAGTTTGATAGGTGTTTGTCATATGGGTGTCATGTTGGTTATCTGATGTTGAGTATTTTTATGTACTTTAATTTCAAAAGTTTGGTATTCTCTTAGTTATGCTATTATGTTTGAGATTTTTGAGAATTATGTTACTTCAAATATTGGATTTCTCATATCTATATTTTTGTTATAACTTAACAAAAATTAAACTTTTTTGAAGATTTGTGGATAGTTGATGACTTGTTGTTTAATCTACATAACAAATAGGTATTGTGAAGTTCATTAATTTCGAGAACAAAATTGTTATAAGAATGATATATTGTAATAATAAATTAAAAAAACAAAAATAAAATAAAATTATTTGGAAATGTCAATTCGAACTAAACATCTCGACGATTATTTCTTAAGAAACAGATGTCTCACTCAAATGAGAGAGGAAGCAATTAGAGAGAAGTAATCAATGAGGAGAAGATGTGAGGAGTCTAGCTAAGGTGAGTCCAGAAAATGCGTTCAGTTATTTGTGGAAGGCACTTCGACCTCATGAGAGAGGTAAGGGAAGACAAAGTGTTGGCATGTGTTTGTGTGTCATAGCGAAAGGAAATTTTTTTATGCCAGAAACGGAGAACCGAACATTGCGTAGGTTCGAAGAACACTGAGGAGTAAGGTTGTTAAAATGGCTCATTGCTTGCGAAGAGCTCGTGTTCAACTCGTTAAATAGCTCACTTTTAATTCGTTCGCTAAGCAAACGAGTAGAACTCAAACATTTTTTTTGCACTCATATATAAATGAGCGAACACAAACAAAAATTTGTTTGTTCATGTTCGTCTCATTTTGGCTCAAAATTATCAAATTAAATAATTTAAATAACTACAAGGCTGCAAAAATTTACCATCAATTAAAATTATTAATTAAAAAAATTAAATAAAAATATAATAATTTTTTATTTTTTAACTTTTCTTAAAATTTTGAATTAATCCATACTTTTCCCTTAAGAAATTAGTTTTTTGAAAAAAAAAATTTATTATAAAAGCAATTTAGCATAATCTGGTTAAGATGTATGAGTATTATCTAATTTTCAATTGTACAAACATTTTACAAATTATAATAAATATCATTCCATATAAAAAAAAGCATGATAAATTAAAACATCATAATTAAACATATATGATACATCATTAATTGATGAATTTAAAACTCAAAAGTTCTATTTTAAAAAACATAAGGTTTAATACTCAAAAGTTTTCTTTTAAAAAATATAAGTTATCAAACCTCAAACATGTACAAGTGATGTATTTTTAAATCAAAAAAATTTAAAGTTCATCCATAAATGTTGCATCTTTGAAAGATCCCTTTTAGAAGTTATCTATTCAAAACTTGCCTCACCAAATGCATCTACGTCGTCACATTCAAACATTTCATTTATATTATTTACGCATTCATCCGTATCTACACATGAGATCAGTATAAGTATGATTCAAAATCTACTACTTGTTTGCCTATTCAATTATTCAATAATAAAAACTACCTACTACTCTCTATGAATTTACTATCTAAATTGTCATAATCAAGCTTAGTAGTATGTTTATTGTCCACCATTCAAAATTCTATTATTTCAATGCTTGCATATATTAATGGATCATTTTTTTTTTGTTTTGCTAATAAAATATAAAATAAAAAAGGTTTTCTTAGATTATAACTTATCATTATAGCTTAAAAAATAGCATGTTGACATATAAAATATTCTATTAAAGAGCATGCATGTTTTTTTAATTTAAGATTGTATCTAACATAGATCATATCATTTAGTCTTTGATTGATGATTTCTTTTTCCATATGAATTTTTGCAAAAATTTTTTAAATTTCTTCTCAAATGAAGATGAAGAAGATGTTTGGTTAAAAATGTGAATAGCCAATTTTTAAAAATACGAAGTACTAGAGGCGAACATTTTCCACCATTTATCGGTACATTTATTAATATTTAATTAATTTAAAAAAGACTCCATATTATAAATATAAACTTGAACCACTTACGAGGTTGCATTTCTTTTGACCTGATAAGTATTGAGCGCAATTGAATTATTATAAAAAAGTTCAACTAATCTTTGCATCACTTTTAATATGCACCTAAGTTGATAACTTGACAAAAAATTTCATCATATTTTATCTTAAAAATGTTGGTATATGACTTGTATATGAGCTCTTTATATTTTTGAATATGTTATTAATTACTTCCCTTACTTTATTCTTGCTATCATATATATAGCTAAGAGATGGTCACTCTTCCAAAATAACCCATAATAATGATATTTGTTGCTCTGATAATTTTGATATGATCAAATGATCATTATATTATCTAAATTAGGGAATCAACTTTTTTTCTCTTTAGTCTTTTTTACCAATTTTGAATCATTATAATACTTACTAGTACTAAATGTTTGTAAATCATGTTTATATTCATACATACTTTTTAATGTAATAAAAGCTATAACAAAATCAGTATCTCTGAGAGGCATTATTTTAATATGCCTTAGTTTTTTCTTAGCCAAAATAATACTTACATATGATTCTAATAAAATAATATTATCCTTGATACATTTTTAAAATAATTTGCCAAATGAGGTATGCTACGTATATCTCTTTAAATCAAATTGTAGCAATACACAACACAATGGACCAACAAATTATTTGTGGTTTTTATAGTATGATTAGACATTTTGGAATTTATTATCTAAAATTATAGAATATGTTTCTTTTACTTTTATTATTTTTTGCTAATTTTAAGTCAATATAATACCCACTATTAGCAAATATATGATAATCATTTTTATGTTAATGCACAGTTTTCAATGTAATAAAATTTGTAGCAAAATAAATATTTCTAGAAAACACTATTTTAAACTATGACTTTTTTCCTAACCAAGATAATACTAAAATATGAATTTAATAAAATATTATTATCTTCCATGCACTTTTAGCAAGTTTTGTCACATGTGACGTGCTATAGCTCTCATGAGACTACAAATACTATAGTATTTTTCATGCAATAGCTCTCATGTTTTTAAAATTTTCTATGTTATCATTCACTAGTTGAACAATAATTTTTGGATCAATCTTCTCAATGATTTATAGAGTAATAATATCTTTCTTAATTTAGAAGTTGTTAATTAAAAGAGTTAATCATCGTGGGTGGTGAACCAAAAAGTCTATCAACATTTCTATTTCTAATATCTATTCACTTATCAACAATCAAAGTATTTCATTTGATGTTTATAAGAGTCAACAAGAAGCTCACAACCATCTTTATAATATCTTAGCAAATTAACAATCATTATTTGATATGAAGGTAGTTAATAATTATGACCAACTACAACTATTATCTCAACTACGTTTTCAATATAAAAAATGTTCAAAACATTGAACAAAACATAAATATTAAAAAATCACCTAACAATTATCAAACAAATTTTCTTTACAGTCTATTTAAATGCTCATACGCTTCTCAGTGATTACTGAGATAAAGAATTTATTCAATGAGCGAAATAAATTTCAATTTAATATACTTTTTTCTTTCATTTAAATGCTCATATGCTTCTCAATTTCATGAAACTAATGAAACTAATATTATGATAGAATCTTGAAATATAGGTACTCTCAATGGTAAACTAATAGAATTAGTTGATATTATGGTTCATAGAAAAATTAATATCTTAT